AAGTGCTAGGATTACATGCATAAGTCACTGTGGCTAGCCCCAACATTATACTTTTCTATAAACTACCTGTTTCCTTAAATAAAATATAATTGATGTTTTTGAAAGCAGAACCATCTTAGCCTTTGTGTTACTGGGCTTTACAAATAGAAATACTTTCATTTGACAAATTATGAAGAATGAATAAAATAACTAACAATAGACAGACTAGCCAGGTACTAAACTCTTCAGTCTGACTCCCACATCTTTATAAGTAGGAATGTTTATAATTTTAAAAAATTATATATGAATAGTGAAATTGTCATCGAGTCAGTTTAGTTATGTTGACAATAAGTTAACTTCAGGGATTCAGATTAATATGTGCTCATTGAGATACGCAGAATCTTTGTGTTTGCTTTTTCCTTTTAGGAAGCTGCAGTAAAGGAAGATGAAGAAGAAGTTTCAGATAAGGGCAGTGATTCTGAAGAAGAAGAAACCAATAGAGATTCCCAAAGTGAAAAAGATGATGGTAGTGACAGAGACTCTGATAGAGAGCAAGATGAAAAACAAAACAAAGATGATGAAGCAGTAAGCCTTATAGGTTTAAATAATTGGAATTATATCTCTGATGATAGCTTTGGGTTTTGTCGTTGTTTGTTTGCTTGCTCGCTTGCTTGCTTTAAATATTACCTGTATATTTTATAATTTTATTACTTTGACAAACGTTTTTAAGGAATGGTAGTCAAGGTTATAAAGAAAAATGATTTCTAACAAGGATTGGAAATCCTCATTTTCTTAAATATTAAATTGTTAGGTGGAGTAGGACCTGGTTTTGAGGTTAGGTCAGTTGATCTCATAAGGGGATTTTCAGTGTTGGGGATATCTCTGGAAATACGAGTAAGGAAAGGTGTTTGTGAAATGCATAGTGCTTACTTGGAAGGCTGTGTCACGAGCTCCAGGTCATGTTTACTGTAGAGAAACAGTACTGTGGACCCTGATGTCAAGAGGTTGGTTAAGGGAAAAGCTAACTTTTATAGAATACCACCTTGTTTCATGGGTGTATATAAGATACATTAAGGACAGGGGAAGTCTTTAGAGAATTTATTAATATGGTGTGAAAGTACAGAGTATAGAAGAAAAATCTCACGGCATTAAGTTGCACATGATTTATGGGAGAATTATAGAGAAGAATGTGGTCCTTAGAGTCTCACTGCAAATAAACTGGCCATTTCCTTTAGGTTTTGTTAGCGTTGTTCTTTTTGAGTGGCCATTGATCTAAAAGTAACACTGTAGTTTAGGAGATAAAAAGGGATTGCCTGAATAGCCTCAGAGGCAAACGAGAGGCCCAAAAAGGAGGAAGGAGGTAAAGGGCAAAGGATAAAAGTATAAGGGAGTAATAACACACTTGGCCTTGGGAATGGTAGAAAACAAAGACGACTACTGTTAGCATTTGCAGGGCCTTGGCTTTTTTTGTACTTGGAGAATTAAATTGATTGCCAGGAAACTAAAATCTGTCAAATACCTTATATCCCTGGCCTGACTTTGAGAATTGACATATTCCTAAGTATATTAGGGTTAGTAGCAGTGACTCTTAGGGTGTTGACAGACTGATTTCTTCATATGACCAAAAATACATTCATTAAATCAACAAATCATTATTTATTATCTGTCACATCCCAAGGCTATCTGAGATTAAAGAATTACAAAGCCAAATGTGAAACAGCTGCAGCTCTTGAATGATACGTAGGCTAATGGAGCAGGCAGATTTGTAGATAAATATTATAGTACATATGAAATTATACACATCTTATGCAAGGTACGTAAGGAGGGAGTGATCAGTTCAGTCCTGAGATAGAAGGGAATTTATGGGAGCTTTACTCAGGAGTTCATACTTTGGGCTTTAGCTGGTCCTAAATAATAATGAGTAGTCAGAGAAAGGGAGAAACCAAAGTCTAAACAGGGTTTAGGAAGAGTAAAATAGTTTGGTAAGTTCAGAGAAGTATAGGTAGTTTGAAATGACTAGAATAAAAAGCACAAGGAGGGAGGCAGTGACAGGAGACCGAAGAGAGGCAGGCTAGGGTCAGATAATTAGCAGCTATGTAGTTGATACTACAGTGGTTAGATTTCATATATTTAAAAAGGCATTGTAAGGATGAGCAGGGAGATGATCAGATTTGTGGAACTGAACTTGTTCTAATCCTAAGTAGTTAATTAGCATTGTCAGGAATAATACCTGGAAACTCCTCAAAGTGATAAAACACATACTAGATTTTAAATATTTTAATTTTTTTGTTTACTAGGAGTGGCAAGAATTACAACAAAGCATACAGCGAAAAGAGAGAGCTCTACTGGAAACCAAATCAAAGATAACACATCCTGTGTATAGCCTTTACTTTCCTGAGGTGAGTTATATACAGGCTAGTGTGTTTCTTATTCCATTCACTTTCTCCTCTGGGATTTGTCAGTTGACTTTTAGCCCTCTGTCGTGTATATTAGTTCATATGTGCTAAATGTGGTCTGTCCTGAAAGGCCATATTTTTAAAGGGAATATTACAATAGGTATTATACTTAGGGAACGTGTTGCTTATAAAAGAGATGGTTAGCTTCTTAAGTATTTCTGTGGTTTTCTTTGCTGCTATCTTTTCTGTGCCCTAATTACTGAGTGTTGTGCATAATGGTGATTTCTTATTAGCAGATTAGGCAGTCTTCATCAGAAAAATGCGTACTTTGCCTTTGAATACTTAACTATTGTGAATCTCTCACCTCTGCCAACTTTTAAATAGGATAAAAAAATACTTAAATTTTCCCTCTGAGGATCCTGCTGGCCACATGGAACCATTAGAATTGCTCTGACCCTGGTTATTGTTGTCCCAGTCCATGGAAATGTGTGAGCCCATGGCTGTGGGACCAACTGTGTTCTTGGCTCTAATAAATAAAGTTCCATAAGAGCTTGATCATGACTGAGCCCCGGGCTCAGGACAGGTCATTACAATGCTATTTGTTGCCTTGTCCTTGTTTACTTTGTAATTGCAGCCTGCTCAACTTTAGATCTCCTTGATAGCCTGTGTTGTTCATCTTTCAAATTACCTTGGGATTCCATTGACATTTTGCATTAGAGTATAATTCTGTCTGGAGCAGAGGTCAAGAACTGGTTCCCCCAGTTCGGGAAACTGTTCCACAGACTACCTCACAGCTTTGCCACAGAACCTTCTGCTCACCACTTGTGTTTGGCAGGTGATTTCATGTATAAATCTACTTTCTGCTTGAGAATGTCAATCTAGAGTTTCTGGGGACTGCTTAAGGCAAATTCCTAAATAATTTGGCTCTCTTAGTAATAAATGAGTGGCTCTGCACAGACTGTTGTTTTGACTTAGAGAGAAGTCTGCCCAGGATTCCATCTTAATGCACACGCTGATCTTCTGGCATGTCCTGAGCTTTAGTCCATCTGTTAGGAGCATTTTGCCCATTGCAGAGGTAGCCTGCCAACACCAGGCATCCTGAAATGAAGCAAGTAAATTCCATTCATTGATTGTTGTAAAAAGTGCCATGGGGTGCTCAAAGCTGCCTAGTGTGTACCCATATAACAGACAGTTTCATTTTAGACCATGCTTAGTTAGTAAGAGAAACATTCATTCACTCCCTCAGAACATTTGTTAGTGGCCACATGCCACTAATGCACATTAGTGGCTCATGCCTGTGGTCCTAGGCTACTTGGGAAGCTGAGGTTGGAGGATCACTTGAGCCCGGGAGATTGAGGCTGCAGTGAGCTATGATTGTGCTACTGAATTCCAACTTGGATGACAGAGCGAGACCCTGTCTCAAAAAAAATAAGAATCATTTTTATCAGCAAAATGCCTTTTTCAAATTTAATCTGCATCTGCATGGTAAACATTTAAGATCATTGTTTATCAGATAAAATTTATTTAGGGCCGGGCTCAGTGGCTCACACCTGTAATCCCAGCACTTTGTGGGGCTGAGGTGGGTGGGTGGATCACCTGAGGCCAGGAGTTTGAGACTAGCCTGGCCAACATGGCAAAACCCCGTCTCTACTAAAAATACAAAATTGGCCGGGCATGGTGGCACATTCCTGTAATCCCACCACTCAGGAGGCTGAGGCAGGAGAACCGCTTGAACCCAGGAGCTGGAGGTTGTGGTGAGCCGAGATGGCACCATTGCACTCCAGCCTGGGCAACAAGAGTGAAACTCTGTCTCAAAAAAACAAAAAATTAGTCGGCTGTGGTGGTGGGTGCCTGTAATCCCAGCTACTTGGGAGGCTGAGGCAGGAGAATTGCTTGAACCTGAGAGGCGGAGGTTGCAGTGAGCCAAGATTGTGCCATTGCATTCCAGCCTTGGTGACAGAGCGAGACTCTGTCTCAAACAAAACAAAACAAATGAACAAACAAAATTTATTTAGGATCTTCCTAACCTCTTTATGTATCTACATTTCCATGTTTCTTACCTAAGTAACCTAACTACCAAACTACCCAATTAATAATATTTGACTTACATGTTAGTGAAATTCATTTATTGTATTTAATGTGTTAAGAATGGTTGGGAATCTCACACAAGAAAAATGGTTTTGTCTAAAGTGCAAACTCATAGAACATCTGTTTCACTTTTAACATGTGCATCAGAGTCTAGGCACAAGTATAGTGCCATTAATTGATATTCATTGGCTTTTTAATAAATATTCTTTTCCTTTTTTGAGCCAGTAGCTGGGATTGCAGGCATTTGCCCCCACGCCCAGCTGATTTTGTATTTTTGGTAGAGACGGGGTTTCTCTGTGTTGGTCAGGCTGGTCTTGAACTCCTGACCTCAGGTGATCCACCCGCCTTGGCCTCCCAAAGTGCTGGGACTACAGGTGTGAGCCACCGTGGCTGGCCCTTAATATTGAGTGCATCTCATTGTAATTAAATAGGCTGAGAGGTGGCAGGGAAAGGCATTCTCTAAGTAGGGAGGTGAAGAAGTGCATAATCTTCAACATAATCCTGTGCTGCTTACATTCCCTACTTGTTGTGGTAATGATGTTTCTGACAAATGTCAAAATGACTTAAGTAAAAGAACTGTTATTGTACCTCATGTCACTAATAATCATAACTGCCATTTATTATACTGCATGTGCTAGGCTTTCTAACATACATTTTTTATTTGTATTTTCTCAGATCATCTTTGCAACATGGCCAGAAGTAGGCACTGATTGTTGAAAAGAAAATGAGATTTTAGGGAGGTGAAATAACCCAGGTTTCTGTGTCTTTAAAACAGATATTTTTAAACTGCAGTCTACAGGCCAGATCTGGCTCCCTTCCTGTTTTTGTCAATGAGGCTTTATTGTAAATAAAGTTTTATTAGAATACAGCCACATTCATTTTTTTTCATGCTGCAAGGGCAGATTTGAGTAGCCGCAACAGAGGTGTTAATATTCCACTTTGAGGCTGTTATGTATTTACACACATAAGTTATATATACAAATATGCCTACGGTAGTAGTCCTAACCCTTGGTTTAAGCAGAATTTAATTTTCTTGTTAGCTGCTGCTCATGTCACCATGTACTTGTCATTTATTTATTAGGCTTATTAATGTTGCAGTGCTTTATCTCCTAAGGTATTTAAACAGAAGAGTTTTTAGTTGTGCTTAGTATAGTAGTGTTTGAAAGATAAACCAAATTTTAATCTATTTTTATAGTTAAAATAGAAAGTGCAGCAATTTTAGTTTAAAAACATAACTATGGGCCAGGTGTGGTGGCTCATGCCTGTAATCCTAGCACTTATGGGAGGCCTAAGTGGGAGGATTGCTTGAGCCCAGGAGTTCAAGACAGCCTGGGCAAAATAAATGAAATCCTGTTTCTACAAAAAATACAAAAATTAGCCAGACGTTGTAGTGCATGCCTGTAGTCTCAGCTACTTGGGAAGCTGAGGTGGGAGGATCACTTGAGCCCCACAGGCAGAGGTTGCAGTGAGGTGAGCTGAGATAGTGCCACTGCACTCCAGCCTGGGTGACAGAGTGAGGCCCTGTCTCAACAAAAAACAAAACAAAAAAAACCCACGTTTTCTCAAAGAAACTGTTTCAGTAAGATGATATTTTAACCCATTTCAGACAATTGAGAATTTAGAATAGTCTAGTACTATTTTGGTTAAATAAATATTTAGAACATCCTAGAGTTTATTTTAAGCTGTAAAACATTTTTCTTTAAACCGTTTTAGAAAGATACTTCCCTACCCACCTCTTAAACAGGTGTTACTAAGCAGATGACTAAATAGTTAACTGAAGTGTGCTGTAATAGAGCAGTTGTTGCTGAATGCACAGAGGTTTGGTGCTTTTAGACTTGGCTTTCTAAAATACATACATACATACATACATACATATATATATATATATATATTTTTTTTTTTTTGAGACAGAGTCTTGCTCTGTGCCCAGGCTGGAGTGCAGTGGCGCGATCTGGGCTCACTGCAAGCTCCGTCTCCCGGGTTCACGCCATTCTCCTGCCTCAGCCTCCCGAGTAGCTGGGACTACAGGCGCCTGCTACCATGCCTGGCTAATTTTTTGTATTTTCAGTAGTGACGGGGTTTCACTGTGTTAGCCAGGATGGTCTCGATCTCCTTACCTCATGATCCATCTGTCTCGGCCTCCCAAAGTGCTGGGATTGCAGGCGTGAGCCATTGAACCCTGCCTAAAATTTATGTATATATTTAATACTTTTCTGTCTCTTGTTCTCTGATTTTTCCCTGCTGTCATTGTGTACATTCTGATATTCTGGTGAATTTTTTTTTTTTTTTTTAAACCCAGCTCTTTTTTCTGTTCCTAATTTTTTTGGAGTTCAGCTAGAAATGCCAAGTTTAGTACAATCATGGGCCAGTGGAAAGTATAAATAGACTCTTACAATCTGAAATATCCTCTTAAAAGTGTATAAAGTATTTAATGTATTGATTTTTGATTTGGCTGCCCAAGTTCCTTCCACTCCTACTTTGTGGCTTTTTCTTATTACTAGGTAAGATTACTAAGATTATTTGCTACATGCTGTTGTAATAGTTGTATATATTTAGAATAATGCTTGTTCCTTAAGGTTAGTCATGAGGTTTTTAATATGAAGGCCAATCAATAGGTTTCAAGGAGCTATTGAAATCACCAAAATTGGATACGGAATGTTTTTAGGCAATGGCTCTGCAAATGTTAAGAACAGCTTATTCTTTCAGTAAACATTCATTTGAACACCTATTTTGTACCAAGCACTTTGTCAGTGCAGAGAATCTCTAAGATAAGAGAGGCCAAAATTATGTTCTCTCTAGTTCTTTCCAATTATTTATACTCTTCTTCTTCTTTTCTTTCCAGGAAAAACAAGAATGGTGGTGGCTTTACATTGCAGATAGGAAGGAGCAGACATTAATATCTATGCCATATCATGTGTGTACACTGAAAGATACAGAGGAGGTAACTATCACACAACATGATTTCAGTATTTAAAAAGGCACAGCTGTCACTATCATGCTGCTTCATATATCTTCATATATCTTTTTTTAAAAAAGCAGTTTATCATATTTAGCATATTGTATTCTGTTCGTTGCCTGCATTTTGTAACTGTTCTCTGATGTTTTGGGGGTGAGCTCGTTGGAAATTTATAAATAATTGTTAAAGGTAGGCAACTTAGTCAATGTTTTAAAAACTTGTTCTTAGCTTGTTTTGGGAGTTTTCACTGTTAGTGTCTAAGAACATATGCCTTTCCTCCTCCTCTCCAGAATTTAGTAATAGGATTTTTGTTCTTATTGGATTAGTGTTAAGTATTAGATCTTTTGTCTTAAAAAAATATAAGAACTGATGATGTGGATTTTTTGAGTGGAATTTTTGATTACGTGATATTGTTCACTGTTAATGACATCAGTGAAGTAACATTGTGATGAACATACTTACCTTTGGGAACTGCATTTTTGTTGTTGTTTTTCTTGATTTTTTTTTTTTTTGTAGGAAGAAGGTTCTGTCTGCCTGTACTTGGTGGACAAAAGCTTTTCAAGATAGCCCTATGATGTTGATTTTTAGTACATATTTTTTAACCCTTTGTAATCAAGTGGTAAATGCATGAAATAGGTTAATAATAAATTTATAGAGGTTGAATTGATGGGCTAGAGGTTCTGTATGTTTGTAATTTTGACCTATATTGCTAGATATTTTATTTCTCTATAAAAAGAATGAATGTCTAAATATGCCTAATGCCTCTCAGCATGTCATACATTTTGAATATCATTGCTAGTTGGAAAGGTGAAAAATAGCATCTTAGATCTTTGGGGTTTTTTTTTTTTTTTAATTTTTTCCTCTGATCATTTTTTTGAGACAGGGTCTGGCTATGTCACCTAGGCTGGAGTGCAGTGACACAATCTTGGCTTACTGCAACCTCCGCCTCCCAGGCTCTCCCACCTCAGCCTCCCAAGTAACTGGTACTACATACATGCACCACCGTGCCTGGCTAATTTTTGTATTTTTTGTAGAGACGGGGTTTACCCATGTTGCCCAGGCTGGTTTCAAACTCCTGAGCTCAAGAGATCCGCCTGCTTTGGCCTCCCAAAGTGCTGGGATTACAGGCATGAGCCACTGTGCCGGGCCTCTCTGATCTTTTAAGTTTTAAAACCTATTGAAAAGTTACAAGCACAGTATCATGAAACCTCCCTAGATCCCCACCTATCTTCACCAGTTGTTTACATTTAGCTGTTACTTGTTTTATCTTTCTCTCACTGTATGTGTACATACAAAACATGCACATGTGTGTGTGTTTTCCCCTGAACCATTTGAGGTACTTGTAGATACTATAACATGCTACCCCTAACTACTTGACATGTATCCCTTAAGAACCAGGGCCTTGGGCTGGGTGTGGTGGCTCACACCTGTAATTCCAGCACTTTGGGAGGCCAAGGTGGCCAGATCACTTGAGCCCAGGAATTCAGGAGCAGTCTGGGCAACATGGTGAGGCCCTGTCTCTTAAAAAACAAAAACAAAAACCAGGACCTTCTCCATAGGCCCACTACAATGATTATACTCAGGAAATTTAACATTGGTATGGCATAATTATCTAATATGCAGTCTGTATTCAAATTTCCTCAACAATTCCACTAATGTCTGTTACAGTTTTTGGTTTTATTTTTAAACTCAGGATCTAATCAAGGATCACACATTGTAGCTGGATGTGGCAACTCGTGCCTGTAGTCCCAGCCTAACTCAGGAGGCTGAGGCAGGAGAATCACTTGAGCCCATGAGGTTGAAGCTGCAATGAGCCATGATCATGCCCCTGTACTTCAGCCTGGGCAACAGAGTGACCTGTCTCGAAAGAAAGAAAAAAAGACCTTTTTACATTGTATTTGGTTGTCATGCCTCTTTAGTGTTGAATGCTTTCTTGTCCTTGTTCTTTTTTAATCTTTGCATGCCGCTGACATTTTTCAAGAATCCAGGCAAAGTGTTTTGTACAATATCACTTAATATGACTTTGTCTTGTTGGTTACTCTTTATTCATCTTCGTGTTTTTGGCAAGCAAGCTATGTTGGTGATGTACTTCTTACTGCATTATGTTAGAGGTACAGTATATGCCTCTGCCCTATGTTGGTGATATTAATTAAGGTTGCTCATTTAGCTATGGTTTTTCTCTATTGTAAAGGTATTTTTCTCCCCCTCTAATCTGTGGGGTGATATTTGGGCCCTGTGTGAATGTCCTATTCTCCAACATTGTTTTAGCCAGTCATTTTAAGCATATATTGATGATTCTTGTCTGAATCAATTTTTACTCTGCTTATTCTATTCAGTGTAGTTTTTATTTCTCTGAAGAGTGAAACTTAACTTTCAGTGTGTTTGAGTCATCTTTTTAATGTGTCTGGCCATTGTTCACTTTTCTTGAGTCTTAAAAAATTGGGATTTTTTTTTTTTAATGTTAAGAAATCAGCCCTTTGTGATATGTGTTACAAATATTTATCCCCAGTTTGTTTTACTATTCTGGTTGTTTCTACCAGGCAGAAATATAAATACCTATTTGTTTATCCATTTTCTTATTTATTTTTTGTAGTATGATTTAAAGAGTTTTTTTTTTTTTTTTA